AGTTTGGAAACAGCCCGTAATGTTCTGTAAACTGCCTGTGTGATTTCGCAGGATAACAGAGGTAGCAAAAGTTGAGTCATGCATCTACAAAGCTTTAATGTACCAATACGAACGGAGCTAGCAAGCACGCACGCATATAGATCAGATCGATTAATTCTGGGTCATCACACAAGTAAACAATACAGAAATAACGACATGAATCACCAAGCATGCATCGATCTAGCATAATACTTATTATCCATTGACAACGATTACATCATGTGACGGAGATCTACATGACTGTAGACTTATATGGTACTAAGTAGCACTAGGAGCTACATATGAGAGACGTCCTAAACCCTAAACGCTACGTCCTAACCCTAAACGCTAGCTGCTATCTTTCTCTGATACTACCTAAAGAAAACTAACTTAAACGACAAATAATCTGACAAAATCATCGGTGATCTGCGCATCCTTTTGCTCCTATGGTGATGGCGCTGGAGATGCAGCGTGAGGCGCCGGAGTCATGGCAGGAGGCGTCAACGGTGGCAAGGGTTGGGCTGTCAAATCATCACCAATGCAAGTTAATCAATCTCTTTCAAAGAAGCAGCACATATATACACAGGAAAACACACAGAACAAGGTTAGTAACTTACTGCCACAGGAGAAGATCGTCTGGATGGGTATCATGGCGCCACACCTAAGCGGGAGGATGATCATGCGGATCGGATCTATGGGCTTGGGGAAGAGCTTGCTCATGCCGCCGTTGTTGTTCAGGCCGTGGCAGAGGCAGATCGGCGCGGTGCTGACGACCGACTTGAGGCCGTCGCAGCACGCGTCCGGTGGCGAGAACACCGTGATGTTGGTGAGGTAGTCCATGCACGGTATCATGGCCGTCAATGGTGTCAGGCACTCCTTCGGCGACGGCGGGCTTGGCGAGCCGGTGGGAAGCGGGAGGTGTGGGAGGCTCGGCGGTGCATGAGATGGAGGGGTGCCCGGTGCACCACCAGGGAGCGGCCCGAACAGCGGCGGCAAGCCGGGGATCTGGGGCAGTGGCGGGAAAAGGGAGCGGAATATCGGTGGTAGGCTAGGCATGCCGGGGATCTGAGGCAGCGGCAGGCCGGGAAGAGATGGCGAGCCTCCATCGGCCGTGGTGGTGGCTGTGGCTTCTTCTTGGTTTGCGGCGGCGGCGGGCTGGACCCTCGCCTCGGACGGCTGCAGCGTCGCGACGATGGCCAGCAGGGCGAGGAGCACGGCCACGGTGTACTTGGAGCGCGCCATTGTTTGCGTGAGGGGAGGATGCGTGGATCGGTTTGATGGCATTCGTGTGTTTGCCCAACTATTTATACTGCTACGGCCGGCCGGTAGGGCACGTTAGAGATAGACAAGTTTGAATATTTGTTAACCATTTGAAAATTTTATCCAACTAGATTGAGGTCTGTTTGGGTTGTGGTTTCCTTCAATTTCCTGCTACGTTTACGAGTAAAGAAAGATGCAGCTCGGGTACGCATGGATTAAGCAGAGTCCCTGTACGACGTCCTCTCTATGCAGATAGAGCTGGAGGTTCAAACGAGTCCATTTGCATTCGACACACGTTGAGGTGGATAAGATTCTCCTTTTCCTTTTTTTTAAACTGGTTATTATTTCCATTCATTCTTTTAAAAAACACATTTCTTTTCAAATTTGGAACTCATGGGATATTATATTGTTTTGTTAAAACAAAGACAACACAAATCGCACAACATGGATCGGAGTTGAATTGCGAATTTCACATGCATGCCCGCATTGAAAAATACTACCGGCCGGCGGCCGAAGTTCTTGGGAAAGTACATGGACATACTTTTTTTTTATAAGTACAAGGGCATACGTACATATACTATTCGGGTTATTCTACTTTCTTGACTTGTGTATCATTTCATTGATAGGCTTTAAAAAAACATTTAATTGATCTCGCTCATCAATCACTCATACACAATGCAATGGCTTGATCATGCGCCGAAAAGCGACCATCACGGATGCACGATGAATCTAGGCTACGTCTAAGGCAGGAATGCATCTAGCCCATGAGCTCCGGCGGCCGCCCAGGACTTTGTTTCATCCCCAATGGTCATGGTAAGCCGAGAGTCCGATGGTTGATCGTCCTCAAAGACCCAAGAATTCCGGGCCTTCCAAAGCCACCACTCCATGAGGATGATCATGGAGGTTATGCTTCGACGCTGCCCGACAGGAACCATGGCGTAGGATGCCGCCCACTAGTCGAGGAAGTTGTTGTTCGCGCTCGGCAATGGAGTCGTCGCCCACCATGATAGATACTCATGCCACATCTAACACGAGAATGAACAATCCACAAGCAAGTGATGCATGGTCTCGGGCTCCTAGTCATAAAGAACAAAGAGGGGTGCATCTGGTAGCCCACACCTCTGCACTCGCTCGGCAGTCCAACACTGATCTTGGGGAGCAAGCCAAATTAATTTTTTTGATTTGAAACTGCACCCAGCTCTTCTAATTCAAGTTATCTATGGGCACTACCAACAGCCCAATCGAGCAGAAGCACCGCATAGCAGGAGGTGGCTTGACTGTAGTTTAGGTAACTGCTCGGTCTCCTCCTTCATGCACCCACTACAGCTAATTAGACAACAACCAAAAGAATTTTGAGGTATGTGAAGAATACACTGATAGTTAGTCTCACATTTACCAAATCATCATCTACTCTTGTAAGTGCATTTTCTGATGCGGATTGGGCTGGCTGGGTGGAAGATAGAAGGTGTACTGGTGGGTTTGCCATATTCTATGGACCAAACCTAATATCATAGTGTGCAAAGAAACTTGCAACCGTTTTCATGTCATGTACAGAAGCAGAATATAAAGCACTAGCAAATGCAATAGCAGAGGTTATCTATGTCCAGTCTATGCTGAAAGAACTTAAGGTTCCGCAAATGCAACCCGTGTCTTCGGTGTGATAATCTTTGTGCTACTTATTTATCCGCTAAATCAGTTTTTCATGGCAAGACAAACCATATTGAAATAGATTTTCACTTTGTCAGAGAACGTGTTGCAAACGTACAACTAGAGGTCAGATTTGTCCCTCAAGTGTAGGGTAGTTAGAGAGATTGTTTTCTTTTAATCTTATTTAGCCTTAGCTCTCTATCTCTCCCAAATGTATCTCAATCTCCCTCTGTAATCTCTCGATGGTTTGTCGTTCAACCGAACAACTTCTATAAACGACCAAGAGATCCCTCTCGTCACATCAATACAATATGTATGGCGGGCTCACATGTTATGGGAGTTGAGACGCTTTACCAAAAGCTAAAACAAAACACACAGAGACGCGTTGTCAAATGCGACAGCGTTCCTTTGCATCCAAATTTCCCACATCACGAGGATGATCATGGCGTTCAAGTACTTCCTGGATTGAGCAATGATAGCGGTGTGGACCATTCCAGCACATCATCCGTAGCTGTAGGTGCCCAATCTGTGTGGCAAAGGAGTTCAGCTATGCTGTGTAGCAATTCTTGGCTACGTAGCTGATCAATTCTGGGGTATGGAGAATTTGACTCAGAGGAGAGACACATGGTAGGAATCCGTGCGTCCGAAAACTCTTACTATAAAAAACGTGTTTTGTGTCTAGTAAGTGGTACTCCCTTCGTCCGAAAATACTTGTCATCAAAATGGATAAAAGGGTATGTATCTAGAACTAAAATACATCTACATACATCCCTTTTTATTCATCTTGATGACAAGTATTTCCAGACGGAGGGAGTATGCATGATTATCATAGCACGTGGAGAACCTGATAGCGACAGATTTAATCGAGCTGCGGGGATGACAGATTTAATTCAGAGGTAGCTTGCAAAAGTTGAGTCATACATCTACCAATGCTTTCATGTACTCCCTCCGTTCTGAATTATTTGTCTTAGATTTGTCTAGATACGGATGTATCTAGCACTAAAATAAGTCTAGATACATCTGTATCAGACAAATCCAAGATAAGTAGTTCGGAACGGAGGGAGTACCAACTACCAAAGGATCCAGCAAGCAAGCACGCATATAGATCAGATCGACATCATACAGCAATAACGACATGAATCACCAACATGCATCGATCTGTATAATACTATCCATTGACAACGATTTCATGTGACGGAGATCTTACATGACTGTATACTTATATGGTAAATAAGTAGCACTAGGAGCTATTCTCTCCGTCCGGAATTACTTGTCATCAAAATGAATGAAAATGGATGTATCTAAAACTAAAATACATCTAGATACATCCATTTCAATGACAAGTATTTCCGGACGGAGGGAATACTACATATGAGAGACATCCTAAACCCCTAAACGCTAGCTGATATCTTTCTCTGATTACTACCTAAATAAAATCAACTTAAACGATATATAATCATGATGAAAGCATGGGCGATCTGTGCATCCTTTGCTCCTATGGTGATGGCGCGGGAGAAGCAGCGGGAGGCGCCGGACTGGTGGTAGGAGGCGTCAACGGCGGCAAGGGTTGGGCTGTCAAATCATCACCAATGCAAGTAAATCAATCTACTTAAAGCAAGCAGCATATATAAAGAAAAACACTAGAAACAAGGTTAGTGACTTACTAGCGCAGGAGAAGATCGTCTGCGGGGGAATCATGGCGCCGCACCTAGCAGGGAGGATTATCATGCGGATGGGGTCGATAGGCTTGGGGAAGAGCTTGCTCATGCCGCCATTGTTGTTAAGACCATGGCAGAGGCAGATCGGCGCGGTGCTGACGACCGACTTGAGGCCATCGCAGCAAGCGGTCGGGGGCGAGAACACCGTGACGTTGGTGAGATAGTCCATGCACGATATCATGGCCGTGAGCGGTGTCAGGCACTCCTTCGGCGGTGGCGGGCTTGGCGAGCCGGTGGGAAGTGGCAAGTGTGGGAGGCTAGGCAGTGCACCGGATGGCGGGGCGCCCGGTGCACCACCAGGGAGTGGCCCGAACAGCGGCGGCAAGCCGGGGATCTGAGGAAGTGCTGGGAAAAGGGAGCGGAATATGGGTGGTAGGCTAGGCATGCCGGGGATCTGAGGCAACGGCAGGCCGGGAAGAGACGGGGAGCCTCCATTGGCCGTGGTGGTGGCTGTGGCTTCTTCTTGGTTTGCAACGGCGGGCTGCACCCTCGCCTCAGACGGCTGCAGCATCGCTGCAATGGAGAGGAGGACAAAGAACCCAGCGACGGTGTACTTGTACCGCGCCATCGTTTGCGTTAGAGAAAGGACAGATTGAAGAGGAGAATGCGTGGGTGGTATAATCGTGAGAGGATGCCCAGCTATATATATAGCTCCGGCTGGTTGGTAGGGTGCGTTCGGGATAGAAAAGTTTGAATGTTTGGGCAAACCATTTCAATCCTTTATAGTACTACTATCTAAGAAAGATTGAGGTTGTTTCGGTTGTGGTTGATACGTAGAAACGGATGCAGCTGGCGTCCGCATGGATGGAGTAGAGTCCATGCACATCGTCTTTAGGCAGATAGAGCTGGACGTTCAAACAAGACCGTTTGAATGATTGTATCTGTCTCGCCTACCTATTACAGTTGCGGTGGATAAGATTTTTTTGCATTTTTCAACTACTAGTAATCTTTTTCTGTTAATTTTCAACTAGTAATTGATCTTATTTTCGTTTCTTACTCCAATTTGGATGCCACGTGACATTGTTTGCTAAAACACAGACGACACAAAAAACGAGTTGATTTGGAAATTTTGAGCACTACATAAGAGCAACTATAGCCGATATAGGAGTAAACAACGGACTAAAGTTAGTGGAATAAATTTTTCACACCTCTGTAGGTGGCCGCACTTAGCCGATCTCCTAAACTTAGTGGAGTAAAAATAATTTGCATAGGTTTTTTTGTCCTAACCACATGAACTTCAAACACCTCACAATGTATATCATAAACCATTCAAATTAAAACATGCATAACATAAACGTTAACAAGCATATAGTTTCATCGATTTCACCACAATAACTTTCTTGGACCAATTTTCAACATATTGTGCCACCATAAATCACTTAATTAAAATTGAAATTCACTTAGAGCATCGATTGGATATTTGTGTCCATGTACTACTCACATCAAGCATGTATTGATGTAACTCCTTATAGCAATCTCTTCATTTTCTCCGTATGCGGGAAACATGTCGCCGGTACTCAACGACATTTTCACTGTTGTCATATAATCAACAATTTGACCATTCCGGTAAATTTACTCATAACTTACTTGGAGTGCTAGACATATCTGGTTATCTAT